TTTCCACTCCAAAATTCACTAGCAAATTTACTTATTCACTTGCAAATTTTAGGTTTGAGTTCTTGAATGCTTGGTGAAAACTAGCTATGAATAATGTATGCATTTCCAAAATTCAGAATAAAAATGTGTCAGTTTGGTTCATCTGCTGAAAAACACCCAGAAATGTTATTGCAAAACTCTATTGCAAAACTCAGGAAACCGAGTTCTAACACTACCGGTTAGTTACATAAATTGTCCAGTGAGAAATGGAAAACAGTACTGCGAGACTTCTGTCAAACGATGTACCACTATAAAACGGATAGTGAGTATTTACAGGTAAACAGAGAATGATCTGAAACCAACAACTATTAAGTGCATTAACTTATAAATTATTAAATGGTAAATAATGTTGCCAAGTGATTTTGTAACCATTTGTGAATAATCAATTACTAGGGAACAACAGGTGGAATGTATCCAATTAATTTCATTACGTGCACTTTCTTTGTTCAGAATTAGCTTTTTATTCTATTTAACCATAGCTGGGTATAAAAATAAAAAATAATTTGACAGAAATTGAGTACAAATGTAATGATTAATCCAAAAAAACTCTACTGTTCTATTCCACAATTATTGTTCTGTGTGGTAAAATGATGGAGTCTAGCTATTGTAAATAAGTATTGTTCCAGTATCTCAGGTATATTACTGTATATAAGCACAGATTGCTGACTTTGATTTTGCAGTAACAACAGAATAAACTGTTCTTCCCCTTCTTTCTAACAGTCTCTCCATAGGAATAGTCCTTCCATTTCTCTTGGCTGAAGTCAGAAAACTTCTGCAATAATCAGAGGGATTTTTCTGTATGCTTTATTAAAACTCATGGCTTTGCAGCTGACTAGCCTTAGCATTTAATCCACTGTTGGTTTTTTTTTTTACTTTTCCTTTTAAAATACATAAGATTTTCCTGTGGTGTTATAGCAAATAACTTCCCTTTTATTTTCTTTTTTAAAAAATTCTGATATTGATATTTTGTTATTTCTTTAGATTTCATGTTTCAGGATGGTAACAACCATTATAACTCACTCTCTGAAATCATCTCTGTGGATGGTCTATAAGAAAATGAGCTGAATATTTGCCTACCTTGTTCTGTTTACATGGATTTGTTCTCAAATGAAACAGTCAATTTTTGGTGGGTCAAAGGACGACTAATAAACAAGGCAGTTTAAATAACAGGCTAATCTATGGCAATCTTCACATTTCAGCAGCAGAAATCTGCAAGGTTAAGGACTCGTTTGTTCCATAACCAGTTTTAAGAGGTCAAGATGATTTAATACTTTGATGTACTCAACACAGATACTCACGCGTTGTCACACACCCTCTGTGGTTTATGACATAATGCCTGCATCTTCAAGCAGCCTGGCAAAAACTTCATGCCATTGACTATGACCATGCCTAACAGTCTTCCCGTAAGTTTTCTGGCTTTGAGCTATGTTGCTGGTTGTGATAATAGTTAGGGGAGGAGTATTTTTTTTTTTTGGTTGTTATTTCACATACAAGGACTGACCCTCCATAATTCTTCATGCAACAGCTCAAGGTATAACATTAGGTGAGATCTAGCTGCACAATCTAAATGACAGTTCATGGCAACAGCTGCAAATCAATGCCAAGAGTCTAACAGTGGCAACTGTGCAGAATGCCTAGCCTCCCGCAACATTCTCATCCTGGATCTACTTCTGCCACGAGCAGTGTCCCCTCCTTCCTTTCGCCAGCCTGCTAATATCAAGACTTGCTTATCTAGGCTTATGATATTTCCACGTCCCTGGATGTTCCCACAGCTCTTCCTTTTCAGGACACAGCAATCTCAACAGTGCAGTTCTCAAAACAACATGACCGTCACTGAGTAGGCAGCTGCAAGCAAATCTTATCTTCAGTTAGGTGAACTTGATGACGGCTGACAACCGGACCTCTGTGCATAAAGGGTTTTCACAATTCTGTCAAGCTTTGTTATCATAGTCTCGCTGCTACATCCTGTAATTGCGCCGTGGTAGCCACTGCCAGATCTGTTCAAGCAGCTCTGTGAGCTTACTCCCCTGCACACATTTCATTTCTACACAACTTTTGAGTCCCAGGGTATTATGAGTTACATTCCCATACCACAACATGGAGAAATGTGCTTATGTTTGTGTACTCAAGTACAAACAGCCTATGATTAAAAAAAGTCTGTTATTACCAAATTACCATTCTAGGCATCTAAACATGTTCTTGATTCAGCCGACAAAAATGTACGAAAAATGACATAGTTCAGATCATATTCCTATCACTGATGTGAGGATTTTGATAGACACACTGAAACACTGCACCGTCGTTATTTCTAATTTCAATTTATGTACCTCGTGCCTCTTCATGGAGAAAGCAACAATAGCAGCAATGCAAACATTATGAAGACTTCAGTCTCTTTGCTTTTTGCATGATGTACACTTACAACAAAATCCTGCAATGTAGTTGCTATTAATAGCAGTAGCCGTTTCCTTCATGAATGCTGCTCTCAGCATACAACCTGGCACTATTCTGTAGGAACAGCATGAGCTGGAAGTGTGTTTGCCTCTTACATGTGTCAGGATTTCGTAGTATTAACTAAGGAAGCTACGAAAAAGTAAAAAAGACAAACTGGTCCCTTACCAATTGTTTCATGGATTTTCTTTGACAAATATCTCTGTGCTTTCATCGAGTAAGACGAACTTGGCAAAATATAATTAACCCAGAAGAAGGATTTTTCTAGAAGTCATACGTATTCTTCAGGACATATTTTGTGGCATTTATTTCATAATATGAGGAATACAAAAGGATTTGATAAAGAAGATGCTGCTATGCTCCTGAATATTATTTCTATTTCCTAACTTGAAAGGCTATCATGAAAGCAGGCCAAAAAGTGTTCAGAGAAGACTATAGCAAGGAGGGTGTAGCACAACCTTTGACTGGCATCTGACAGCAGGCAATTTGATGGTAAGACACTTCCAAGTTGCCCACTTAAATGTCTAGTGTACAAAATATCTTGGTATTTTGCTCCTTTACTACAATTTTTTTCAACGTATATTACATTTTTGTCTGGATTCTAATACACCAACCTTATGACTCACTTCTCTTTTTGTGTTGAAAAGAAATATTTCAGCTGGAACAAGGTATTTACATGGTACCAACAATTTATCACCAGAAAGACGTTAGGAGAACACAGGCCTTAGGTGTGGGGACAGACCATCTCCTTTGAAGGGAAGCGGGTAATTTGCATGCAGTGAGACTTGTTTCGAGACAGCTCGGTCCAAAGGAACTCCTCTAAGAAGCAGTGCTGGGGGAATGGTTCAGTAAACTTTTCTTGATTATTCCTACCAGTAGATCTTTCTTTGAAGCTCCGGCACTGCCCTTGCAATGGTGTGGACATCTACCTTTAGTTCTCTTCCATCTCCTCTTATTTTCCAGTTACAAGAGGAGACTAACAAGCCTCACTCACGTATCTAAAGCTATAGCTTTAGCTTCTACTTTTCGTCCTTCACATCACACGCTCCTGCTCTCTCCTTAATGTGTGAATGAAAGCACTTGGGCAATCATGGAAACGAGATTAAGTCACAGGGGCCTTGGCTGAAAAATAACCTGGTGAAAAAAAAAAAGCTGTTTTGTTTTTTTTCAGATGAATCAGATCCTTGATCCAACTCAGCAGTTGGGAGAAACCTTTGTGCAGCCTGACACCAAAACCATGACGCTCCACACACCCTGCACGCATAAATGTCCCCAGTGCCTGTGCTCATCTTGTCTCCAAAACACAGCCGTGGTGGCAACGCCCACACCGGCGACTCACAAGGCTTTCCCACCCAGACTTGTCTTTAACACCTGCCGCAGCCCTCCCCCGCACCGCTCAGTCATCAAATCACCTCTTCATCTCCGAAGTCGCAGGCTGTGTGTGAAAGGCACCTGCTTTCTGCACAGACTCCGACAGCACCAAGCCCCGACGCAGGCCCGGGCCTCCCTGGGCTGCGAAGCGTGAGCAGCCCAACCGCCGCCGGCGGCAGCCAGATGCCGGGCCTTACCCGAGCACCTCAGCCTGTTCAGAGCGGTTTTCACCCCACCGTCGATGGGCAAAGTGCCGGCGGCCGACCGCCCTGTTCCCCCACCAACCATTCGCGGCCGAGACCTTCACGTCCCCCTCACGGCGCGGCGACCGGGCCTCGACCAACCACACTCCC